AAAAAAAAGAATATATTTAAACCTAGCACATGAACATTTAATTTTATAACTACTATCTGTAATGTACATGGTACATATGCCTGCCTATGTGGATTCACTATTTCTCACTTGCACAATGCACCAGACACTTGCCTTGTCCCATGTGAAACTGCATTTACTGCATGTCTAAGTGGTGCCACAGGTGGCCTGATTATCTCTCTGATTTCTGATAGGGGAAGTGAGGAAAGATCATTGTTAATGGTAGAACAGAAAAAGAAAGAAAAACGTTTTGTTGCCCAGCAGATAAGGTTAATTCCACCTCCAGCTATAGAGTGGTGACAGTGGCATATATGGAGAGTCAGTTACTAGTACTGTACTAAAAATTATGGACACTAAAGTGAAAAATACAGAGACACTATTGTCTTTGGGACAGTTTCACATCTCTGAGGATTGTGGGTGTATTCTTCCTGAGCCTCTGGTGGTCTTTTTTTTTTTTTTTTTGCAAATTGTAACATCGTAGTAAGAATGTAACAAATTGGTGTTTTATGCAATGTACAATATAGGGGAATGAACTGGCAGGGAAAAAGCAAATTTATGACAAAAAAAAAAGAATGAATTGCTCACAGGTACAACATTGCAGTTTGTTTTATTACTTGTTATAGTAAAACATTGAGAGTGTCACTGTGCTGGTGAGAAGGTTTTAACAAACTATCATTTGCATTCATGCACTGTATAGTCATATATATTCAGACACTGTAAGACATTTTTGTATATGAAAGCATAACACTTTGACAGTTTGCTTTCTGAGTGACCTTTATCTATTTGTTTTAATGGTAATTAGGTTAATAAAAACTTTTCTCTCCATAAACACAATTTTATGATTTTGATCATTCTGATATTCAGAATCTGATAGACAGTGGTCTTAGAAATATTTGTAAGATTACTTTGATGTAAATTTGGTGACAAGTGCAGTTAATGTTTTTTTTTTATTAATAATTTGTTAACTTTGACTTACATTTAGTATGGGATTATGTATCTCTTTTATTGATTGGTTTAAAATTTAGAAACCACCTCAAGATATCCCTAGGGACTATGTAATCTGTCGTATTTAATTCTATGGCGGAGAAAAAAGCATAACTGTATGGTACTTTTAGTGGATACATTTATTCATGATGTAAATTAAATATAAAGTATGCATATTATTTTTTTAAATCAAAATATTTGCATAACAAAATGAAAATTATACTATATTAGATAAGAATATATGGTATGATGTAACAATATATGTTCTTGAGCATTTTTCATTACGTTATTATGGACTGTATTAGAGACACATATTATATATACACATCTACATTGTGTTTCAGACAGACCTACCACTGTACTACAAGCCCTGGATGGACATTGCCAGAAATGTGCCAGAACTCATCTCTTCCCATTCTTTGCGCCTCAGAATTCACAATGTATGATCTTTCATACTAAGAACATAATATTGAAAGAGTCTTACCTGCACAGATAAATTGTTTCTGCTAATTGCTTTTGTAATTGTTTCTGATATAATTATTCATTTTGAATTTCATTGATGGAATCAATTAAAGCTATGTGAACTCTAACAAGTTAAATTGTGTAAAAGTAAGTTATACTTGTGTACTTACTAATGTCACATTTCAACTTCATTTCACAAAGTATTATTTATACAAATTATGTTTCCTTTAGACAAAAATAAGATTTTTTTTTATATTATAATATTATTTTATATAATTGTTTATATATTATATAAAAATCAATAAAAACATTTGTTTATCATTTTATTAATTACAGTTCAAATCATTTAGCTGTTATTTCTAACGCTAATTGTTTCTGAACAGGTGCAACATCCAGATGTTGTAATGTTGGTTAATGTATGATGGTGCATTTGGCTGCCTCTTTATTTATTTAGTAATTTATTAGACGTTTTTATCCAAAGCGACTTACAAATGAGGACAACAGAAGCAATCAATTGTAGTATTAAAACAAGTAAAAACAGATCCAAAACTAAAAGCTAAAACTTTATAAATACTACCTATACACATTTTAAAAATAGATTAAATAAAAATGACAAATGCATACAACAAAATGTCAAAACTTAAAATGAAAAACAAAAAATAAAGCTAAAAATAATTCAAAATATTAAAGAACAAACGGTATGAGTATAATAATGATTCTAACATAACACTAAGCCAAACACCAAAATAAAACAACTACATATGTGTGTATGTACAACCACGCGATATCAGCACGTCTCCACACAGTAAACAAAACAAGCTTTTCTCTTCTCTCACCATTTTGTTTGTTTGTTTTATTTAAGTTAAGTAATCTTGTTTTAATTGCTTTTATGGTTGCGATGTGGTGGTGCCATTTTCTATATTTTGGACTGTTGTTTTTACTTCTGTTCCCTTTCAGGTTGGTCTCTCAACATTGTGTAATCGCTAGGGGAAATCCCTTTCTCCAAACTTTCCTGAAGCCTCATTGAATCCCACTATTGCACCAAAATAGCCAATGGCAGCCAACCAGGAAATGGATGGACAGGTCGTATCTCAAGGCAGGCTGCCAGTCAGGTGCCCCGCAAAGACCAGCTCCCTTTTTCGGCAAGTCCATCCCATGGATGGAAGTCCGTATCTCTGCCTTCTAAGCCATGTAGGACCACAGCCCACATTGCTGAGAAGGCATACATTGCTGCTGGACATGCAGCATCTGCCCTTCATACAATGGCGATCCTGCAGGTTTTCCAGATGAGGCTCCTGAAGTCCCTGGTTGAGGAGGGCCCAGACCTGGAGTATTTTCGGTAAGCGTGCCAATGCTCCATTCTGCACGAGATCGAGGTCTTTGTCAGCACAGTGACAAGCCTCAAACTCAAGCCACCCATCTGCCCCGATCACCAGCTTGCGATGCGATCCCAAGTCGCCATTACGCCAGGGGTCGTCAAAGAAGTTACGTTACGGGGACTTAGCTCGCAGACCATTCCACTTCAGCGGCGTGATCATGTCAGAGGTGCCGGAGTAGAGTGCCCCGCTGTTGCATGCAGAAATTCTCTCTCTTCTAACCAGAGAGAGTGCCCAACGAGCAGCGAGAGTGTGGGCTGTACAGCCGCTACTTCTTAGTGCCGAAAAAAGATGGGAGAATAGTGGTAGACTTTTATAGCGGTAGACCTGAAAGATGCCTACTTTCATATCCAGATAGCCCCTCATCTAAGGCACTTTCTGAGATTTACTTTCGAGGACGTTGCTTATCAATTCAAAGTCCTGCCATTCGGCCTGGCTCTGGCACCGTGCACTTTCATGATGTGCATGAACGCAGTGCTTTCTCCCCTGAGACTATGCGGAATGTGCATGCTGAACCTCGACGACTGACTCATCATCGCTCAGTCCCGAACGGTGCTAGAGGAGCACAAACGTAAGCTCCTCGGCCATTTAGCTCGCCTAGGTCTTTCAGTGAATATGCAAAGAGCACGCTGCAGCCCTGCCAGTCCATTGCATTCCTGGGGATGAATTTGGACTTGCGCTCTCTGATTGCGGGGTTATCAGCAGAGAGATTTCAAGCCATACTCAATGCTTTGACCTCTTTTGTGCCAGGCAAGGCTGTTCCCCTGAAATTGTACCAGAGACTGCTTGGTCTAATGGCAGCCACAGTCACCGTTTGCTGCCTGGGTTTGCTGCATATGAGGCTGTCACAAGTCTGGCTGAATGATCGCATGCTTCAGGGCATGGGGGAAGTGGAGATGGCATTCATTGTGTTACTGTGCGCATTTATGAGTGTGCTGGCGGCGTGGATTGACAGGAGCATGTACGAGCGGGGAGTCATTATGGGCAGAAGGGTTAGGTGGAAAGTCATCACCACAGACATGTCACTGACAGACCAGCGTTCGGCACCTGTCAAGTTAATGCCACTAGTGCTGCGGCGGGTAAGCACCCCCTCGTTATGAGCTTCTTAAGGGATGAGAGGCATTTGAGCCCTCCCCGCCCTCGTTTAATGCCTGTGTGGAACTTATCATTAGTGCTTAGTAGAGGTCTACACGGGTCCAAAAATTCGTACCCGAACCTGAAGAGACCCGTAATTGTGCTACACTGAACCGACCCGGACCCGTCTATTATTTTGAAAGTTGGACCCCCCGGGCCCGTGCAGAACCGAGAAATGTCAAAAATGTACTACCCGGAACCGATGCGGACCGTCAATTATTTGAAAGATGGACCCGAACCCGGCCGGGAAGACACAGACCCAACTGGACCCGATCGGCACATATTCCACAGCAAATTGCTATTAACAAGTCGATAAACAAAGTTGCGAAAATTAAACTTTTTGTCTTACCTAATGTAAGAAGCCTTCTCCCTTGTACCTGACTGTGATGCACACAATCCTCCTTGCCAAGAAAGTTCCATCCGTGTTATTCCTCTCTTGCCAATTGAAATGCGTAATCCACTCATTATTCCAGTTTCAAAAGTCCACTTGCTGTCACGGTGACGGATGACAAATGCGACTTTGCAGTTTTGCATTTTTTGTATCTCAAGTCAACTTGCATAATAATTTAGACTGTTTGCCCCTTTGGATTAAAATAACGATTGCTCGTCCAGTGCCATGGCTGCTGACGTTAGCTTTACTTATTTGCTATCATCTCTGTGCTCTCTGAGCCGAGTCTGAGCAAAAATTTGAGATATAACAACAAGACGGTTCATTCATAATATTATAAAAAAAAGAATCAATAATAACTCACATCACTCATGAAGGTATCCATTATCACCGTGCGTGTACATTAACTCCGCCCACCCTGCTTCTGATGACGTCACTCTGGGTTTTTTTTTTTCCCCACCTTATTTCAAATTACTGACTCACACTTTTCTCATCCTAATTTTACAAGTTTAAAGTTACAAAACAACACACACACAGCGCTGACTGACTCTGATAACGGCCGGGTGTTCTCCGCGTCGGATCGACTCGGGTATTACACACAATGTTAAACAGACCCGGGACCCGAAGTAATAGATTGGGACCCGACCCGGACCCGGCTGACCATTTAAAATATAGCCCCGAACCCGTACGGATCCCGGGTCCTTGGGTCTCGGGTTCTCCGTGTAGACCTCTAGTGCTTAGTGCACTGCCAAACCACCCCTCTCTGTTTTAAGACAGCCCTCCTTCTCGTGTTAGCTTGTGGGAAGCGTGTGGGAGATTTACAATCCCCGTATGTTAATAGAAGTCTATTGATCAGATAGATTTTTCAAATTGTGTTGTCTCCACTTTAAGTGATCTGTCTTCTACATCTTTGGAGGAGAAATAATGCTCTGGCTACTAATTTAGACTCTTTTGCTCCTCTAAGGTCATGTAACATTACTTTTGCCCACTCTGCTCCTTGGTATAATGACAATCTGTGCACTAGGAAGGCTGCTTGTCGGAAAATGGAGCATAAATGGCACCTCACTGGCTTGAATGTCTATTATCAAGCTTGGGAGTATCTTCTGGATGACTACAGAGAATGAATTGAGACTGAAAGATCATCTTATTTCTCTCAGACTATTGTAAATAATCAAGGAAATCCCATACACTTGTTTCAAACTATGAATAGATTGCTTCAAGTTAATACTGTTACCTCCTTGCCTGATTCTCAACTGCTGTGTAATTCCTTTCTTCATTTTTTTTTTCAATTCTAAAACTGATCATGTTTGTAAACAAATTTGTCACAACTGCTTCACTATTTTGTCCTTCTGGATTTACTGGTATTTCTCTTACAGATTTTCCACAGCATTATTCTGAGCCTCTAAAAAAGGGAGGCATCTAGCATGAAATCTACTACTTGTGTGCTTAGTCCTATTTCCTAGTTCCACAAGCTTATTTAAATCTTGCTTTGATGTTTTGTGCCCTGTTATCCTAAGTATTATTAATTATTAATTGCAGACTACTCAGCCGGTGTCTCTCGTTGTCTCTGCTAAATCTCTGTTCTCTTACTCTTCAAAAATGCACCGCTGCTACCATGTTTCATTCTATCCTATACTATTAATGTAATGGACGTGTAAATTACTTTTATTGAATACAACAAATCCCGGCTTGCACTATCAAGGCATGAACAACTGTAAATAACTCATGTCGTTCTAAATACAGTCCATGCTGCAACAACAACCATCGCAACAATACTCAAAACCTGCTAAAATCCTTTATGTCTGTTATCTATCTGACTGTATTTCTGAGATAAAAACAAGAATGAATGATAATTTCCTCTGCCTGAATAGTAGTAAAACTGAAGTCATGCTTATTGGTTCCCGTCATCAACTTTTTCAAAGCTACTTCACTGACTTTGTCTGTTGATGGCTCTGTTTTGGAGACCAAAAATAAAATAAGGAACCTTGGAGTTATTTTCGATGCCAGTCTTACATTTGATTATTTTGTACATAGCACTGTTAAAGCTTCCTTTTTTTCAAGTTTCAATTAGTCAATTTGTTCGTTGTTTCTCGGATAGATTACTGTAATGCCCGTTTAACCGGAGTTTCTAAATCTCCACTTAAAGTCCTCATGAAATCAAAATTTACACTATTTACTTTGCTAGCGCACATTGCTAGTCTTGAGGTGAACAGTTAATCCATGCAAGTTAATCCACTGAAAAAAAAATGTTTGATTTGGTAATCTTTAATCAAAATCTGAACATTTACTTCTGCTCTGGAATGGCATTCCTTCTCTGATGATGTCAGTTTGACGGCTTGGGCAGAGTATCCTTAACCAGGCCCTTCCAACCATTAGTTTCCTGTGAGCGAGAGGTGGAGAGGAGGTGTACTAAAATAAAACCCTGCCCTCTATTTAATATTCTGTTTCAGCTGGAAATACGTCATTGAAGTAAAGTTGGCCCCAACTTCCGGATCACGCAGACTTTAACAAGCTACAATGTGTACAAATCTCAGCTGCCAGGACCTGAATTGGGACCCTTTGTAATTCTCTTCCTTCTGACTTATGCCGAGTTCACACTGCACGATTTTAGCCCGATTTTTCACTCGCCGACAGGTTTTGCGAAATCGCCGACAAATGCCCGAAATCGGAGGCAAATCGGTGCTCGTTGACACGAGTGACAATCACGCAGTGTGAATTATCGAAGACGCGATCTGAAGGAATCGCCGACGTGTCGCCGACGCCCGTGAAATATTTGGCATGCTAAATATCTGGAGCTGTCGGCGATTCACAATCACGCTGAGTGCAATGATTTCTGACTGAAAAACACAGTGACAATCACGCAGTGTGAATTATCAAAGATGCGATCTGAGGGAATCGCAGACACGTCGCCAACGCCCGTGAAATATTTGGCATGCTAAATATCTGGAGCTGTCGGCGATTAACAATCACGCTGTGTGCAATGATTTCTGACTGAAAAACACATCGGCGATGACATACAGCCAATGAGAGACCAAGATACAGGGTAGCGGGAAGTTCGGGGAGGAGTTATATGAAACGTAGTTTGCGGAAATCCGCGATTTCCGCCGGTTGTTTTTTATGTCAGCAGGTTGAAGCGACCCCAATAACGTGATATTTAGGCCCTGGAATGTGAATTGTACCAGGAGAACCCCGCCAAAAAAATTTATTTTACCCCCCCGAACTAGAGGTCTGCACAGACTTTAAACTGAAGCCCGAACCCGACCCATACCCGAGATCGTCTGACCCAGCCCGACCCGAGTGGCACAGTTCAATTTAGAGCCCGAACCCGAAATCTTTTTTTTTTTTTTTTCCACAACAAATAGCCAATTTAAAAAAAAAATGCTGTATTTCACGATTGCATGCAACGGTCAGTAAACAAATACATGTAAAGAAACAAATCATTAAGGCTCGGCCAGTTCACAAGGCAAAATAAAAAAACACTTATTACCAGTTATGAAAGTTTATGAACATCAGGTGCTTGGAATGGTTGTATACGACAAGACGATAATTCTTCCATCGTGCAAATTAAAAATCGTGCAGTGTGAACTCGGCATTAGGAGAGACCTATGGCATCAGACCTATGACGTCTTTAAAGCTCAAATCCAGACATTGTGCACTCAGACTGACTTTAAATCTAATAATCTTTTGTGATTTAGGTACCAAGTGTGGGGGGGGGGGGGGGGAAAAAAAAAAAAAAAAAAAAAGGGGGGGAAAAACTAAAATTGTCTGCTCATTATTAGGTGTGGCTATAAATAAATAAAAAACAAAATGATGGTGAGAATGGATTGCAGGGTCTGAAAAAGGTTAATAATCAAATTATGATTGTTTTGTGTTCTGTATATCTCAGATGCCTCTGTTGGAGACTCATTTGTTGCGGACACATTGTGAGCTGCGTTTGGCCCATCTGGCTTTGAGCATGATGACTGTGGGTTACGTATGGCAAGAGGGCGAGAGAGAAACAATAAAAGTACAACAATAATTTTATGCATTCCAAAACCACTAATAGGATTGAAGCACAGAGCTGAACTGTTTGACTTTTTATGTTTGTTATGAACCTCCAGGTGCTTCCGCGGAATCTGTCGGTGCCATTCTGTGAGGTGTCTCAGAGACTGGGTCTGCCCCCGATTCTCATCTACACTGATGCAGTCCTTGCCAACTGGAAGAAAAGAGATCCAGATGGGTAATCTCACTGATCCACACAATATTAAAACTCATTCATGTCTATTGATATGTAATGTTATCCTGACCTATTATTACTAATTTGTAAATTTTATTTAACTTGGTGGAAATAATTATTTAATTTAATTAGAGTCTTCAGTACCTGCTTTCAGTAAGCATTTCTATTTAGGTCTATGTAATGGCAGTTGTCCAGCTGGCGCTGGACCGCCAGAAGTACACAATTTAAAATCATCTTCGCTTTTTCAGGGATGTGTATTTCAAAAGCATTGTTAGCCAGTTGCAAGTTCCATTGTGTTTTGACTGAGTGTTTCCCAAAACCATTGTTCAAATAAACATTCGCAAACAGAACAGCAAAGTTATTGTTGAAACTACAACTCTCGACCAGTTTCTGTTTCATAGTTACTTGTTAGTATGACATATGGTCTCAAATAGATCATGCTCTTGAGCAAGCTAATGTATAGTACAATATATAACTTTAATTCCATACCTATATAAATTTAATTGTATGTCTTTTAGTTTATTAAAAAAAATAGAGTGCTGCAGCTGCGATGTCAAAATGCAGAAGACTAAGGCGCCATTCACACAGACTGCATTTTTCCATTCCATTGTGCTACTTTTCCATAGTTTTTGTAAACATGCACTAGACAAGTGGTTCTCAGCCTTTTTTTCCACCGGGCCGCACTATGGTCCAAGTGCAAGTCTCGCGGGCCGCACGCATATCATTTACATATTACGTCAGCAATACAAACCAACCTGATTTATAATATTATAGCCTAAATATTATGATATCTAATCGATTACATTCATTGAAATAAATAAATAATTCTACTCCATAAATAACGCCCAATTTTGTGAAATTCGGCTCGAAAGGAGTAACAGCAAAATCATAGGCGGAGTTTCACTTTTATGCGTGGGGG